CTCACCCAAGATGGCGGCTCCTGGAGCATCCAAGTGTCCTGGACTAGAAAGTAGTAGATTTCTTGCTTCTGCCACAAATTCCCCAAGCTGTGAGCCTTCCAACCTTCTAAATATTCCTTTATATGTGGTTCAGAGTTCTGGGACCATCTCGTGAGCCTGCTTGGTTGGGTATTCTGTGTTGTTGTTGGCGGAGCTCTTTATTACACGTCCACCCGATCTGCCATCTTGTTTGTTCTCTGTCTTTGATACTTTGGACACGTCGTCAGGAAGGACCTGCCCGTCCCTGGAGAAGGACATAAGTCTTGGTACAGTGAAAGGTCAGCAAAAATGTGGAAGATCTCCAACAGGATGAATTGACACAGCAGCAGCAACAATGGACTCAAACATAGCTACAATAGTGAGGATGGTGCAGGATCAGGCGGTGTTTCATTCTGTTATACATATGGTCACTATGAGTCAGAACCAACTGAGAGCAATTAACAACAGAGTAGTTTATATGCATTTTTCTCATTTGCTTTACTTTACCCAGTCCTAGGAAGTATTATACCCATTCTGCTGGCTAGGAAAATCAAGGCTCTCAAGGTTAAATGGCTGGCCCAAGGTCATACAGTTATTATATAGGTGAAGCTGAAGTAGGAGCCAGATCTCTTGCTGTGACACCAACTGCCCCAGATGAGGACTGGACTTAATGGCTGGATTCTGATGTGGTGATTTGGTTATGAGTGTTCTGGGCTCATATTTAATAGGTAGCCACCCTCCCCATGTCCAGGCTGGCTATTTAATTAGCCTGGAGCCTTCGGATCCCCTGACACCCTGCAACACTGCCCAGGGTCACAGGTAGAGCTAAAACAGGATCTGAGTGGCAGGTTCAAGAAGCTGTATAATTACAACCAATGCAGGGGACAAGTGCTGCCAGCCTGTGTGGTAGAAATAGAAAATCACCTAACTAGAATCTGCGCTCCCCATACGGATGCCAGTGAAGGTTTTTAAGTACACCAGGCATCCTGAGGACTGCAGTTTGCATGTTACCTCAACAGTTGCTTAAAGACCTGGGAGAAGATCACTGATGTGTGCGTGTGCAGCCAGAGCTGTGCCTTCAAGGGGAGAAGGTGAGAGACCCAATTCCTTTTAGGAACTATAGACAGGGGTGTGCCCACAGGTGCCTACAACAGGCTACTCTGTGTTAGGAGAGGCTGAGCTCCAGAAGCATTTTTCCCATTGGACACCTCTGGCTGAATGTCTCACAGCCACCTCATGGTGGAGATGCTATTTTTGCCTCCACGGGTCTCTTTCTTAGAGAATCTGTCTCCCCCAGGCCCTCACTCCATGTGGTTTTTTATAGGGTTATGCTGCCCACGGTGCTCACACTTCTCAGGTCACCTGGTAAGGCTAGATCAAGCAGAGCACTAAATCCTTTGGACCTAGTGTTTGGTCCAGAGATAGACATGTGCCTAAGCAGAACCAATCAGTTTTCTACATTTGATATAAAATCTTGTTTACTTTTTGGAGCATAAACTGTAGCAGTAGAAGCTTAAGGTCACTGTTGTACGTCATCAAGATTCCGACTCATAGCCACCCTACAGGACAGAAACCCCATAGGGTTTCCAAGAGATGAAGTTTAGTCATCTTGGCTTCCAAGGAGCACTCTGGCTACACTTCTTCCAACACAGATGTGTTGGTTCTTTTGGCAGCCCATGGCACTTTCAATATTCTCCTCTAGTTGCTGGAGAAGGATATCATGTTTGGTAAGGTGGAAGGTCAGAGAAAAAGAGGAAGACCCTCAACGAGATGGATTGGCAAAGTGGCAGCATCGATGGACTCAAGCGTGGCAACAATAGTGAGGTTGGCCCAGGATCGGGCAGTGTTTCGTTCTGCTGTGCATAAGGTCATTATGAGTTGGTACAGATTCGATGGCTCCTAACAACAACAACAATATAGGGTTTCCAAGACTGTTATCTTTACAGAAGGAGATGGCCACATCTTTTGCAGAGCAGCTGTGAGTTCGAGTCTTTTTGGCTAGCAGCTGAGTGTCACCAGGCCTTAAGCACAGGGCAGCTGGGAACCCTGGACTCCAGTCTCAGAATGACACCTGACACTCCCCTGAGCAATTTATCTCATTCTTTCATCCCAGGCAGGATGAAGAGCTGGGCCACTAGTGCTCAACCCTGAATTTCTGTCATTTTATTACCTATTTACTTTGAGTCCTTGGGTGGTATAAACAATTAACATCCAGCTGCTCAGTGAAGGTTTGAGTCCACCCAGAGGCACCTCGGAAGAAAGACTTGGTGATCTACTTTTGTTGTTGTTGTGAAGTGCCGTCGAGTCGGTTCCAACCCATAGTGACCCTGTATAGGGTTTCCGAGGAGCAGCTGGTGAGCTTGAACCACCGCCAACCTTGCAGTTCAAATGGCTTTGCAGTCTGGCACATTAACCCACAGCGCCACCCGGTGATCTACTTTAGAGCAACTGTATTTGTTAGTATTTGTTAAGTGTCGTTGAGTTGGTACCAACTCATAGCAACCCTGTATAGAGCTTCCGAGGAGTGGCTGCTGAGCTTGAACCGCCGACCTTGTGATTCATACTGACCTTGCAGTCCAGCACATTAACTCACAGCCCCACACCAGGATTAAAAACTCTATGGAACATAGTTCTATCCTGACACATATGGGGTTGCTCATAAATCAGAATCAAATTACTTGGGTAAATTTCTTTACCTCTTAGAGCTTCCTCACCTGTGAAATGGGACAAGGTCGGTATTCACTCCCTAAGCATGCATGCAGTACAGTACTCTCATAATGACTCAGAAGTTGGCGACATCTACGGTAATTATTATTCTTGTGAAGTGCCAATTTATAGTGACCCTGTACAGGGTTTCCAAGGAGTGACTGGTGGGTTTTAATCACTCACCCTGTGATTAGCAGTCCACACCAGGACTAAGCAACAAACATCCACTGAGCACCTATTGTGAGCCAGGTACTTTGCAAACATTAAAGCCTTTGGTAAATCCAGAGGTAGGTTGTAACTTCTCCATTTTAAATGTCCTCCTTCCTTGGGGGAGAGGTGTTTAGTATTCGCAGACTGTTTCTTGTCTTCATCTAGAATGAAGGTACCAAACTAACCCTAAGAACCTCCCCCACTTGCTTTCTTGCCCCCAAGATTCGGCATTGAGGGCCAGTGAGTACAGTTAACCGAAAGACTCCACTTTAGGCTGTTAGATTGCAATTCCAGATGAAGCAAAACATATAACCCTTGGTCTTCCTCTTTAAGCCTCCCCACTCCCTCATCTAAGGAATCAGGTAGTAATAGAGCCTGCCTCTTGGTTATCAGAGAATGAAGAGATTGAATTTGCATAAAAGGCTTAAAACAGTGCCTGGTACATAGTCCTCAAAAATGTTAGTTATTATTATTTTTTTCCATGGGAATATATAGTCAACTCCTTTGTCTCCCTCATATGGCAGGACAGAGATTTTAATCCCATTTGCAAGATGACAATACAGAGGCCATGGGAGGTTAAAAGGTTTAAACTGGGGGCGCTTGTCTGCATTTCAAAGAGAGAACCAGCGGAGGTCAGTGTTCCACTTTGAACTCCTCAGTGGAGAGCCAGTCCAGCCCAAACTCTGCGGCCTTGGGGGTGGGAGGACTGGTTTCAGGTTAAGGGATTCGCGAACTCGTCGCAGGATAACCCCACCACGCCGGCAGACGACCCAGCGGACACCTCCTGGGGCGCACAATAGCTGGCGCGGAACTTCTAGCGGGCAGAGGCGCGCACAATGACTGGCACGACGCTGGGTGGCGCTGCTGGGCCACCCCGCGCCAGACCTGTTGCGCACGGGGCGCAACTTGGGCAGGTTTAGGATGAAGAGCGCTCCGCTCTAACGCCTGCACCCTGCGGCCGGACTACAGCAACTTCCTCGGGACGACCTACCCCTCACCTTATCTAGGTGTGCCTGTTCATTTAGCCTCTGCGTTTCTCACCGCAACAGTTCTAGGCTCGTCGGGTGGGTGGCCGGCGGGAATAAAGTTTTTCTAACAAGGTCTGGGGAAAGAGCTTAATGGAGGGGACCCTCCCAGCTCCAGACTCCATCACTGGCAGGGCTATGCCCCTTCGGTTTCCTGGCTGCCGGGGAGCTCCACTCTCAGGAGGCGCCTGTTCCCGGGCCCGGCAGGATGGGCTGACCCGCGCACCGCCCACTCCCACCCCTTCCCTCCCCCGCCGCCAGCGCGTTTGGGCCCCAGCGTCTCCAGCCCCGCCTGCGCCGGGGTCGCTGCAGTCCCCGCGGCCGCCCGGGCTCCCTTTGCTGGCTGCCCGGCCCCACCCCAGCCTGGGAATTGCCTTGTGCGGAACGAGTTGAGGCAGGGGCACTGGGCGCCCGAACCTTCCGAATCTGGGAGGCGGCCCCGAGTCCAGAAGCCGGAACGCAAGGAAAAGCAAGGACGGGGCGGTCGGTAGAGGGGCGGGCGCTGTTCATCAGTCACGCCAGTCACGTCTGGGGCCACCCGGCAACCTATTTCTTCCTTTTCCCCTTTGCTTTCCACCCGCTCTCCTGTTGGCGAGGGCAAAGTGGCCGTGGCGGCGCCATGCCCGGGCCAGAGTGAAGTGCGCGCGGGCGAAAATGGCGTACATCCAGGTAGGGCTGAGGTTTCGGGGCACAGTCTGGGTTTGGGTTGGGGGTACTGTGCCCCCTTCGACTGTGAGCGCGCAGACGGCACACGACTAGGTTCCCACAAACTTGCCTCGAGAAAAAGGGTGCCCGGGTGCAGGCAACCTGTGCAGCGGCTGGGGTGCGCCCTGGGAGGAGAGGCTGGGGACCCCTAGATCCCAGGATAGAGGGCCTTCTGTGGACTCTACACGCGCGTTCTCACCACCTGGGGAGGAAACAGGGGGGATGGGGCGGACTTATCTCTCCTTCCCCTCCCCCTTTTCCTCTGCACCCCACCCCAGGGGAGGGGCTGCTGGGAGGGCGGCCCGGGTGCTCCAGCAGCCCGGCCCGCCTGCTGCCGTTGCCGTGGTGACGGCTCTGGCTAATTGGCCGGCGGAGCGAGCCTGAGGCAGCTGTTCTGGCCGGGAGGGACAAGGACGTCGTCGTTCCGGGCACTGGGTGCTCAGGGGTGGGGAGGCCACTGAAGCCGGAGGCCCGCCGCTGGGAAGGGGAAACCGGTTACTTTAGTCCTTTGCATTGGGGAGCCTCCCCAAGAATTCTTGGGCTGAAACAATTACCAAGCAGCTTTTTTGGAGGGGTGTGTGCTATTTGCTTAAGAGGCCTCTCCCTCCATCCAACGGAGGAGGTGGCTATAGGTCAGAACCAAGGTCAAGCACTGAGCGGGAAGCTGCTCATTTCTGGGGTTGGTTCCTTGGAATGTGGAGAAGCCCACACAACAGGGTGCATCTGGGCTCACTAAGTCCCTCACCCACTTCTGGGGGCTGCTGGCCCTTTCCTTCCCCTCTGGTTCACACATCCTCTTATCTGTCTGCAGATTTTCCTGTGTTCTGTTACCTGGCCGAGCCCCTTACGCCCTCTCCTGGTCTAGATTCTCTAGAGGGCTTCTTACAGAAAGCATTGGGTCTCTTCGTTTTCATGGAATCTGTAGATGCTCTTTTCAAGTTCTGTGAAGGTCACGTTTCCTGTACACCTACTGTGTGCCTGATGTGGTTGAGGGAACTCAACAAGCACTTGGTGAACCAGTACTGGGATACAAGGGTGAAGCAGCACAGTCTGCCCACCAGAATACATAATCTAGTGAGCAATGATGGGGACAGTGAGCAATGAATGTGCTTCTTAATGGTGCAATTCAGCAGAGATAACAAAGCTGTAGCTGTGTGGAGGTGTGATCTACAAGTAGGGGTGGGGGCTGGGATCAGAGGGAGGTATGTTAAAGATCCTTGGTGATGTAATGGTTAAGAGCTCTAACCACACCCACCAGGCCTGCTGGAGTAATGACCTCTGGTCATGGCTCCCATGGAGTCCTGGTGTGGCACTGTGGGTTAATGTGCTGGACTGCAAAGTTGGTTGCAACTACAAGGTTGGTGCTTCAGGCTCACCAGCTTGAACCCATACAGGGTCACTGTGGGTCAGCACTGACTTGATGGAACTTAAGAACAACAAGGATAAGGAAACAGGCTTTTTTTGTGAAGGGCCAGATAAGTGCTGTTGAGTCACTTCTGACACAGTGACCCTGTATAGGGTTTCCAAAGAGCAGCTGGTGAGCTTGAACTGCTAACCATGTGATTCAAACTGACCTTGCAGTCCAGTCCTTTATCCCACAGCGCTATACCAGTTCTCCAAAAGGACCAGATAGTATGTTTTTTTCTGAAAGGACCATGTGGTCTACACAATACATATAGATGCATGCAAATGAATGGGTGTGGCTGTTCAAATAAAACTTTATGGGCAAATTCCTATAATTTGCCAGAGAAATTAATGTAATTTGCCAGAGTTGAGAACTATTATTCTTTGAATTTTTTTTGTTGTTCAGACTTAAATTATAATAATAATAAACCAGCCTTAGCTTATGTTGTTGTTAAGTGCTGTTGAGTTGGTTCTGACTCATAGCAACCTTGTATAGGGTTTCCCAGGAGTGGCTGGTGAATTTGAACTGCCGACTTTGTAGTTTAGTGCTTATCCTGTGGCGCCACACCAGGGTGTTGTTGTTGTTAAGTGCCATCAAGTCGATGGTACAAAAACCAACTTCTGTCAGACTTGACACTCAGGCTGTTGGTTGCTAGGTCCTGTTATAGAATCTCTGCTTTCTCCTCCTTGCTCTTTTTCTGATCGCATTTTTCCATTATCATGTATAATAAACCTAGTAGGTCCAATGTGAGGAAAGAGGCAGTCTGGGAACATCCGAGTGTCTTCCTTTTACCTTCACTATCTTCCCTGATTTTTCTTTACACTCACCTTGCATGGGGGCCTGGAGGAGACTGGGTGTGTTTTTCAGGGGTTCCTGAAATGGTTTGCCTCTTTTCACGTGGATTTATAAATGGTTCTCTGACCACCAGATACTTGGGAACTGAACTGAACTGAACCCTTTGCAGTTGAGTCCATCCTAACTCATGACGACCTATATACTACAGAATAGACTTCTCCGTAGGATTTTCACTGGACTGCTAACTGCAAGGTTGGCAGTTCAAACCCACTAGCTGCTCTTCAGGAGAAAGAGGAGAATTTCTGCTTCCATACAGATTTACAGTTTCTGACGCATTGTGATTGTTGTTGTTGTTGTTAAGTGCCGTCGAGTCAGTTCCGACCCATAGCAACCCTGTATAGGGTTTCCAAGGCTGTATAAATCTTTACGGGAGCAGAAAGCCTCATCTTTCTCCTGCAGAGCAGCTGATAGTTTTGAACTTCTGACCTTGGGTTCGCAGCCCGATTCATAACCACTACGCTACCAGACACTCTGTGATAGAGTTGCTATAAGTCAGATTTTCAACAGGCTCATATGCTTATGAAAGTTGGACAGTGAATAAAGAAGATCATAGAAGAATTGATACATTTGAGTTACAGTGTTGGAGAAGAATATTGAAAGTGCTACATACTGCCAGAAGAACAAACAGATGTGTCTTGGAAAAAGTACAGCCAGAGTGCTTCTTAAAAGCCAGGATGGTGAGACTTTGTCTCTCATACTTTGAACATATTATCAGGAGGGACCAGTCCTGGGAGAAGGACATCATGCTTGGTAAAGTGAAGGGTCGGGGAAAAAGAGAAAGACCCCCAACAATATAGATTGGCACAGTGGGCAGCAGCAATGGGCTCAAGCATAATGATTGTGAGGGTGGCCCAGAACCGGGCCGTGTTTCATTCAGCTGTGCATAGGGTTGCTATGAGTTGGAACAGACTCGACAGTACCTAACAACCACAGTATTTTACTGAATTGGAATTGACTCACTGACAGTGGGTTTGGAATTTTGCTTTGAATCTCCACCTTTCTTCCACCACATTACTGAGTGGGTTGGAACAACCAACCTTTATGTTAGCGGTCAAGTGCAAACCATTGAGCGAATGGGAACAGCTTGTGTTTAACAGCATCTCTTTCTCCTTGTCCTTTAGCCTAAACGTGTTGAAGTACTTTTTCCTGAGAACACTACAAAGGGCTGGCTTTTTGCTACTTTGTTCGCTGCTGTATCTGCCAGGATGGTACCTGGTGCCTAGTAGCTTCTGGTTGGTTTTAACAACCAGCTTGTACTACGCCATAGAAAGGGTGCAGGTGGTTTCCAACTGGAAACATTTTCATAGTGTCCTGCCTCATCTTAACAGCTTCCACTAAGGAGAAAGGCTCAGAGAGACCATCCCCCTTGACTTACTTACCTGTATTACCTCATGGGTCAGTGATGAAGCCAGACGGCTGTTTCTGAATCCCTGCTCCTTGGGTGACTCCACCCCTGTCAGGTGTGAGCATGGTTTGATTTTTGGTTTCAGAGGTGCTTGTGAATAGTGCCTGGGGCTTTCTGTTCTAAGTTGCAATTATTTCCTTATCATCACTTCAAGGTTTTTGAATTTTCCACAAGACACATACCACCTGTACTATTATTCACTTAAACTGTTTTTGTAAACTCCTTTTTAAAATCATATGAAAATAAAACTTTATGTTACTACTATAATAGAAATCCAGGCTTACTTGGTATAAATAGAAGGTAACTGGAAAAATAAATACAAGTCTTTAAAACTGGTTGCCACTGAGTGGATTTTGACTCATAGTGAGCCCATGCATATCCGAGTAGAACTATGCTTGGGGGGATGGTTTTCAATGACCGCTTTTTTTGAGAACTTTTCTTTCAAGAGCCCTCTTTGTTGTTGTTGTTGTTGATGTTAGGTGCCATTGAGTCTGTACGGACTCATAGTGACCTTACTTATGCATAACAGAACGAAACACTGCCTGATCCTGGGCCAACCTCACTACTGTTGCCACGCTTGAGTCTATCGATCGATGCTGCCACTTGACCAATCCATCTCGTTGGGCTCTTCCTCTTTTTCTCTGACCCTCCACCCTACCAAACATGATACCCTTCTCCAGCGATTGGGCCCTGCTGACAATATGTCCAAAGTGTGAGAGACGAAGTTTGGCCATCTTGGCCGCCAGGGAGCACTCTGTCTGCACTTCTTTCAAAACGGTGGACTCAAACCTACAATCTTTTGTTAAGCAGCAGAGTTCATGAACCTGAACCACTCAGAGACTCCACAATGAGAATGGTGGTGATGGTGGTGGTGGTGTGGCACCAAGTCGGTTTCGACTCATAATGACCCTGTATAGTTTCCAAGGCTTTAAATCTTTACGGGAGCAGAAAGCCTCGTCTTTCACAATGAGAATAGCATCACTTTATTAAATTCTAGTTGGCTACAGCTCTATTCGGAGTCCTGGTGTGACACTGTGGGTTAATGCACTGGACTGCAAAGTTAGTTTGAGCCACAGGTTGGTGGTTCAAGCTCACCAGCTGCTATACAAGGTCTCTATGGGTCGGAACTGATGTGACAGCACTCAACAACAGCTCTATTCAAAGCTTTGTTTAAAAAGTGGAGAGGGGAGATTAGCATGTATTGGAATGATGTCAAAATACCATTGTACCACACTGAGACTGTCTCCTCCTTAAAGATTTCAGAAGAGTAATTTTCTCTTTGGCCATTCAGCATGACTGACTGTTTTGTGTGTGGGTCCCACCTTGCTGCATCTCGTGGGTGGGTGAGACATTTTGGAGCACAGTAGAGGCAGGATGCCTGATGCCCATCAAAAGCTATCCAACTGCTGCTGAGGTTCTTCCCTGAAAGAGCAGGAGGGAATCTGTGCCCTGGGGCCCTATGAGAAGAGCCCTAGGGCCAAAGAAGGGAGGGACCCTCTTCATCCCTAGGGGGACAGAATGATGGCTTCCTTTTCGGTTCCCTCTATTTGTGGGTGGTCATATGCAGCTCCCATTGGAGCAGAATTGGGAGGTAGAGCCCCGGGAGGGCGGGGCAGTCCAGCGCTATCCACTCTTTGGTGTCTGCCTGCAAGTTAGCTAATCATGTCTTTTGGGTTGGCTTCGTGGTTATTTCTGTAATGGAAGGTTTGCTGTTCTCCTGAAGTGTGGCTGTATTGGATAGCATGACTATCTATCCGCCTGCTCTGAATCATAACAGCATACGATGCAAATCACATGGAAATGGCTAAAGTTTCCCGTTTTTTCGGTGTTGGTTGGCCAGGAGGCGACCAGCAGTCCTGAAAATAGCTTGTTAACAAGTCAGCTCCCCTGCCCAGGATGGTAAGTGGAAAAGTGCCGGGCTGTGGGTTTTTGTGTTTTGTTTTGTTTTTCTTCCCCCTTTTCTTTCTTAAGTTGCTGGAATATTGCTAAACTGGTCTTGTCTCTCTCTTTTTGTAACTTCCTCACCACCCCCTGTGTACCTTGGCTTCATCGTGGATCTCAAAAAGGGCAGTTGGAACCATTAAACGAGGTGCGTGAATCTGTCGATTGCTAATTGACACATGCCTGCTTTTCATTCAGAGTCTTAGCTGGGGCTGTGGGCTATCAAGCATTAGACAATAACAGGGATTCAGAACTACTCGCTTTTGATGCCTTCCTACCCAGAGACGATCCTAGTGAAAAGACATTAGTTGACAAGATAGGTTTCCCTCTCTACCCTGACATAGTCCATTTCTGTTTGCTTTTGAGTCATTGGGATGATTTAAAAACAACAGAAAGCATTTCCCCCCTTGCTTTCAAGAAGACAGTAATATTCATTTTGTTTCGAGAACATATTGTCTAGTCCTCATGATGTTGTATAAACCACCCACATGTCAAGAAAGCCGTGCACATAAACTACAAAAGAAAATACCTGCAAATGTTTTGCTCGCTATTAATGGTTCCAGCTAGTGTTTGCCATCTCTCTGCCTGCAGTTGGTAAATAGAAACGGAAAACATTTTGTTCTAAGTGTTCGGCCGTGGAGACAGATCTTCTGAATGTCATTGTTTCTTGCCAGGAATCCGGCTGCTTGTAATTTCGGGTGTTGTTTTTCCTCTCCCTCCTCTCCATCTTTCCCTCCTCCCCCTTCCTCCGTTGCCCACTCCCCCAATGGCTTCAGGGTTTTCTTTCTAGAATCTCCGACTTGCTGCTGTGTAGATGGACTTGCCGCCACTGCTGTCAAAAGTGCTATGAGTCCAGCTGCTGCCAGTCGAGTGAGGATGAGGTTGAAATCCTGGGACCGTTTCCTGCTCAGACTCCACCCTGGCTGTAAGTCATTCTGTGGAAAACCTCCTAGAATGCATTCTGGAGACCTTTCACTTCTTTTTTTCTGAGAGGGACTCAGACCACAGGAAAGGAGGATCTGGGAGAATGAAGGAGGGGAGGGCTGAGGTTCTGTAGAAATCGTTGCTGTTGATGGTGATGTGGGCTGGGCCCATTTTGTTGGCAGGCTGGGGGAACCCAGCTGGCAGTGGGACCGTAGTCCAACTTCTTCCACATCGGGCCCTCTGAGATATGAATGGTGTGATGTTAAACATGCGAGACTTTTAGTCACACTGAACATTGCTCCAAGTGGAAAATCAGATCTGGAAGCTCTCTCTTTTCTAAGGCATGGTCAGATTCTAAAGACTGCATTCCAAGTCAGTCTGATAAATTGCCCCAGCTCCTGACCCAGTGCCCGATACGTAGTAGATGCTCAGTTAATTCTTGCTCCATGGCTGGACTGAGCAAACAAGGGTCTTTTTTTGCTGGTCTCCACCAGAACTTCAGAATAGCACCTCCAGGCTCCAGTCTGTCCTCCAACGCTGTTTATGTTCTCTAGCATCTTTCATTTTATTTCCAATTCGTTCTCCTCCCGCGCCTGCACACAACATCTCCATCTGCCAGTCGTTTAGATATTTTGGGAACAGTTTTTGAAGCTTCCCTGCCATGTTTCTGGCCCACCTCTCTGTGATTGGGGTGGGGAGATATGGTCAAAGAGTCTGGGAACACCTAACAGGATTGGGGAAAGCCCCAAAATTGTTCAGCCTCCCTAGGGGAGGCTCAGGGAGGGAGAGGTGGCACAAAGGCCATGGTGGGGAGCCAGTGTTGTCCCCTTGTACCAAGATCCAAGAAGGCCCTGGTGCCCTGTCCTTGCCTCCAGGTTGGGGGTTGTGCCTCCGTACTTTCCTTTTTGCTTCTGAATTTTCCATACCCGAGTGGCCTTAGTGCCTCCTCTCTGTGTCACACTTCATGAGTTCAAGTCCTATTTCTACTATTCTAATTCTGTGACACAGAGCAGGTTGCTTGATCTCTCTGGGCCTCCATTTCCCATCTGTAAAATGGGACGATACAAAGAAGAGTATTTAGCTCAGGGTTTTTGTGGGGTTAATGAATTTGTTGTTGTTTTTAGGTGTCATCGCGTCAGTGCTGACTCATCGCGACCTTATTCACAACAGAGCAATACACTGCCAGGCCCTGCACCTACCTAAACAATTGTTGCTACACTGAGCCCATTGCTGCTGCCACTGTGCCAATCCATTATGTTGGGGGTCTTCCCCTTTTTTGGTGACCCTCCACTTAACGAAACATGATGTCCTTCTCCAGGGACTAGTCCCTCCTGGCAATATGTCCAAAGTATGAGAGACGAAGTATCACCATCATGGCTTCTATGGAGCATTCTGATTGTACTTCTTCCAACACAGATTGCTTTGTTCTTTAGGTGGTACTTTTAATAATGTCCTCCAACACCATAACTCAAATGCATGGTCTTCTTTATTCGCTGATCTACTTTTACATTCATATAAAGTAATTAAAAATACCATGGCTTGGGTCAGGGACACCTTAGTCCTCAAGCTGACATCTTTGCTTTAGAACACTTTAAAGAGAGCTTGTGCAGCAGATTTGCCTAATGCAGTATGTAGTTTGATTTCTTGACTGCTGCTTCTATGCGTATTGATGGTTGATCTGGGTAAAATGAAGTTTTGACAGCTTCAGTCTTTTCTCCATTTATATGGATGTTATTTATTGGTCCAGGGGTGAGGATTTTTGTTTTCTTTACATTGAGGTACAACCCATACAGAAGGCTATATGATCTTTATCAGTAAGTATTTTAAGTCCTCTTCACTTTCAGCAAGCAAGGTTGTATTATCTGCATATCGCAGGTTGTTAATGAGTCTTCCTCCAATCCTGATGCCACATTTTTCTTCATATAATCCAGCTTCTCGGATTATTTGTTCAGCATACAGACTAAGTATGGTGAAAGAATACAACTCTGATGCATACCTTTCCTAACTTTAACCATTCCGCGTTCCCTTGTTCTGTTTGAACATTTGCCTCTTGTTCTATGTACAGGTTCCTCATGAGCACTACTAAGTGTTCCGGAATGCTCATTTTCCACAGTGTTGTCCATCGCTTATCATGCTCTGCACAATCAAAAGCCTTTGTGTAGTTAATAAAGCACAGGTAAACATCCTTCTGGTATTCTCTGCTTTCAGCCAAGATCCATCGGACATCAGCAATGGTATCCCCTAGATCCATGTCCTCTTCTGAATCAGCCTGAACTTCTGGCAGTTCTCTGTCAATGTGCGGCTACAACCGTTTTTGAATTATCTTTAGCATAAATTTATTTGCATATGATATTAATGATATTGTCCAATGATTTCCACATTCCATTGGGTCACCTCTATTTGAAAAGGGCACAGATATCGATCTCTTCCAATCAGTTGGCCAGGTCTTCCAAATTTCTTGGCATAGATGAGTGAGGACCTCCAATGCCGCATCAGTTTGTTGAAGATTTTGTTTATATTCCATCAATTCCCGGAGCCTTGTTCTTTGCCAGTGCCTTCAGTGCACCTTGAACTTTTTGCTTCAGTACCTTCCATTCTTGATCATATGCTACCTATTGAAATAGTTGAACACTAACAATTTCTTTTTGGTACAGTGCCTCTGTGTATTCCTTCCATCTTCTTTTGAGGCTTTCTGCATCATTCATTCAATCTTTTGCCCATAGAATCTTTCAGTATTTCAAGTCATGACCTGAATTTTTGCTTCATTTCCCTCAGCTTGTGAAATGCTGAGTGTGTTCTTCCCTTTTGGTTTTCTAACTCCAGATCTTTGCACATTTCATTATAATATTTGACTTTGTCTTCTCAAGCTGCCCTTTGAATTTTTCTGTTCAATTCTTTTACCGCCTCATTTCTTCTACTTACTTTAGCATCTCTACACTGGAGAGCAAGTTATAGAGTCTCTTCTAACATTCATTTTGGTCTTTTTCTTCTTTCCTGTCTTCTTACTGACCTTTTGCTTTCTTCCTGTATGATGTTCTTGATGTCATCCAACAACTCTTCTGATGTTGGGTCATTAATGTCTAATGCACAAAATTTGTTCTTCAGATGATCTCTGAATTTAGGTGGGATATGTTCAAGGTCATATTTTGGCTCTCATGGACTTGTTTTAATTTTTCTCAACTTCAGCCTGAACTTGCATGTGAGAAATTAATGGTCTGTTCCACAGTCTGTCCCTGGCCTTGTCTTGGCTGATGACATGGAGCTTTTCCACTGTCTCTTTCCACAGATATAGTAAATTTGATTCCTGTGTATTCCATATGGTGAGGTTCATATGTATAGCCATTTTTTATGTTGTTTAAAAAAGGTATTTGTGGCTCAGAATCTGGAGAAGTTAGTTCCTCTGAGCCAGCCGGCTTAATAAAATCTGAAACTCTGCTTCAAAAAAAAAAAGGTATTTGTAATGAACAAGTTGTTGGTCTTGCAAAATTCTATCATGTGATCTCCAGCATCATTTCTATCACCAATGCCATATTTTCCAACTACTGATCCTTCCTCTTTCTTTCTAACCTTTGCATTCCTGTCACTAGTAATGACCAGCGTATCTTGATTGTATGTTTGATTAATTTCAGACTAAAGAAACTGGTAGACTGCTTCAATTTCATCATCACTGGCTTTAGAGGTTGGTGCATAAGTTTGAATAATAGTAAATCATGTGATGTCAGATTCAAAATGGCCAATACCAGTCCATTTCAATTCACTAAGGTGTAGGATGTCAATGTTTATGCGTTCCATTTCATTTTTTAAAACTTCCAATTTTCCTAGAGTCATGCTTCATGCATTCCATGTTCCGATTATTAATGTTGTTTTTTTTACAGATGTTTCTTCTCATTTTGAGTTGTGTCCCCTTAACAAATAAAGGTCCCAAGGGCTTTATTCCATTTGCATCATCACAGTCAATTCTGCTTTGAGGAGGGAGCTCTTTCCCAGGGTTTTGAGTATCTTCCAGCTTGAGGGACTCGTTTTCCAGCACTATGTATGACATTATTCTGGTGTTATTTACCTTGATTCAATTAGAAAAGTACTTACAAGTGCTTGGCGCTTGCTTAGTAATCATAAATTTTAGTGATTCTTTGTACCCTATTTTGGGCCTCAGTTTTCTCATCGGTAAAATGGGAGCAGCAATAGCCCTTACAGTAAATGAGACATGCATGTGGTAAGTTTATCCAGTGCTGACACACTGCATAGCTCCAGTGGGTATCATTCATGGCCTAGTGTGGTATAGTCCACAGACTGCACCGTTGTCTCTGACCATCCTGTTTCCCAGGATGAAACAGGTCTCCTCCGGATCCTGGGCAACACTTTGCTCAGTTTTGGCACTCGGTGCAATGCAAAATGGCACGGGAAATCTGTAAAGGGGAAGCAGCTAAATCATTCAGAAGGCAAGTTTGCAGCTTGTGCTTTCTCCCCAGATTTATTTACCACACGGGCAGTTGCATGTTCTTAAACAGGCAGGGAGTAGAAATGTCAAGAGTCTGGGCTGGGCACTGCTGTTCCTACGGTGACATCTGAGCTGAGAAGCATGGGCCCTGCCTCTCTGCTGGCCCTTTGTGTCTGTTCAGTGTGTAATCTTGGGGGACACCAATCATTGTTACATGTGCTTATGTCATATGGAGGCCCCCAGCTTTCCTGGGTTGGGCTGGAAGATCAGAACCGTGCCATCTTCCAGATAGTCCTGGTGTGGCACTATAGGATAAAGCACTGGACTGCAAGGTCGTTTGAACCATAAGGTTGGTGGTTCAAACTCACCAGCCTCTCCTTGGGAACCTAATACAGGGTCCCTATGAGTCAGAATCAGTGGTAGTTCACAACAATAAGAAGTACCCTAGCTGAAAAGTTAAAGTCATGTTGCTTGTTTGTCTGAGTGTGTGTTGAGTGCCTACTATGTATGTGCACAGCCCTTGCAGGCCTCAAAGGGGGTGTTTGACTCAGTGGTGGACTCAC